GAGAGAGAGAGAGAGAGAGGCCGCCTCCGGCTTGGTTTCAGTCTCCTCCGTGTCGCAATAATGCTCCTCCAAGGGTGGCTGCACTGCCTCGCCGTCTTGGGATGGAATCCTGGGCTGGGCGTTTAGCACTCTTCTACGCTAGTCAACACATCGGTCGCTTGACAAATGCTATGTCTAAAACCGTGTCCGGTCGCTTCTCCAGCTTCTCCATCCGTGCGCCACCATCGTCCTCGTGCGCGCACTTGCAATACCCCACACACCGAACAAAGAAAACACCTACACGCTATAAAACCAGCAAGCTTAAGGATCTCTGTCGCACTTTTGCTCCGTGTCCTGGTACACTTGGCGCTGGTCCTCAAACCACCCAGCCAGGTTGCTTGCCTCTTCCTCTGCCAAATCCTTCATCTCCTGGTAGAATTACAATGTCAGATCAAAAAGTATAGGGCTGCATCCCCTGCCGAACACCTTGCCTCAACTCCACTGCATGACAGGGTATAGAGCGTCTAGGTCTTTGCAGTCTATAGGCTCGAGGCTCTTAGGGTTTATAAAGTGGCCCATTAGAGTAGGTTTAAACGCACGAAACCCAGACCCCTTTTGAAGACAGACTCCGCCTGGAAGATCTCTGTTGCATCGACCTGTCCACACGGCGAAAACATTCCAATCATGCGCAGCTTGACCACTGTTTGATTTTACGAACTCGGTGCAACTCTGTATAGGATGAGGTTTATATACACTTTAAACAAAATTAGGAAATGCTTCCATGCCGGTGACGAGCCTTGCGGCGATCCAGAGCCGCGAAGAGCTTGTAGTGCAGGCTTTGCATTCTGCTCCGCAGGCTCTGGTTATCCAGGCGCTTCTTCAGTTGAGCCTGGCAAAACGAGATTGCCCGCCTTACCTTCGTGAAGCTAGGGATCCTGTGATCAATGCAGACTCATTGCATGCCAACCCTTCCGAGACAAGCAATGTCCTTCTTCTCATCGAGCTCTCTCCGGCGTCGTGCATCGCCAGTGAGCATCAGGCCGTGTCCTTGGACTATAGGAAACGTTTCATGGCATTGCAGCTACATTGCACAATTAATGATTTGCACCTTCGCCCTGCGTCCCTCTGCATGGAGCTGCCTAGACCCTCTAGATGCTCCAACTTGACCAAGCATCGACTGAGGAAGACATCGAAGAAGACGTAAAGTATGCCACCCGCTGACCAAATCAATAGGAACAGGAGCCGCCACATCCTCGGCGTTGCCGCATGAAGGGAGTTTTGCCCATTCCGCGCGCTTTGTCTATATTGCCGCAGATTTACACCGGCGCTGTACGATGCTTCTGTTGAATTGGCTGTCGGCGACTTGGTCGTTCTTGTGCGTCTGCTGGTCTGCTGGTCTTGCAAAATTTAATTCATCCGGGACAACGCAAAATACCGAGACTCAGTTTTTAAGCTGTGCTCAGGGCACCGTAGGAAACAGAACAAGCATGATCCCCCACCAATTTCAGTGCGATGCATAAAGCAAGCATCATTTTCTTCTCTGGACCAACGAACTCCTCCAGGTGCGGGCGCTGCTTCGCCTCCTGCTCTTGGACTGCACGCCGGATGACCAACAGTACATTCACGGCTCCGATCATCACCACGGGCCACAGGCCACAACCGAGCATCCACAAGAACATGCGCAGGGAGAGTGCCTCACAGAGTTGTTCAGTTCAAAAATGATAAAACTCAGGCCCCTCTCTGCCGAATTAATCGGGCTTGTACGCCTTTTACAGACTCGACTGCTGAGGCCTTCTCGGTGTAGAGGAGCTTGAGACCCTGGACTGCCGAGATGGTAGCGACGAGACAGGCAAGCAAGGAGAGCATCAGGGCTTTCCAGTGGTGCACTTCCATAGCCGCGCTCCGGTGCTCCAAAGTGGGACAAACTCTAATGCCATTATGATCTTCGCACAGCTCGTCTGCTGCATCGTTGAAGTAGACCAGACCGCTGATGGTGCCCGTTGTGTTTACCGGCAGGACACCCAAAGCCTCTAGTGTCGAAATCTCGACGCACCAAGGATCGGGTGTCTTTTGTTGACGGTTTCCAAGAGTCTAAGGTTTGGGTTATAGGACGTAACCGGAGCCCACCTCCGGAGAGACATTGGGATTGGGATGAAAAAATCTGCAGTCGAGGCTTGCCGGGCAGACTCTCGACGCTGGGGCTGGGGACGCCGCCTTAATTAGGGTGGAGTGGGCATGCAAGCGGCATTGTCTGTTATGAAGACGTCCTCCAAGTGCACGGTCGAGGATTTCAGCAGTAGTCCAGCAGCCAGATTCGTCATGCGCACATCATTCGCCTCTAAACACGTTGACTTCAAAGCAATCCCGTTGCATTGCTTGTGCTTGCCCAGGATGTCTACCCCGCGCAGGTTCAGAGAAGAGGCATGGGCTGCGATTGCCATGTTACACTCTCTGCAGGTCATGCCGGTGATGTTCCCAATCGTCCGGTCCAGGACAAGCCCGACGCCCATGATGTTGTGCATAGAAACATCGCGAAACTGAGCAATGCCACGGTTGCTTGCGTTCCTGCTTTGCAGGGTCAGGCCGGAATTCGTGACATCTTCCATCGTGACGCCTTGCATGGTTAGCTTCCACCGGCTCGCATCAATCTTGACCTTGGTGGTGGGGTTGTAAGTCTATGGTCTGATCAAAACCTTTGCAAAATTAGCTTGCTTAACTCTTGGCTCCCGGCAGCACTCCAGACGTTCCGAAACTTGACCATGGTGAAAGTCACATCTAGAAGACCTGCGTGACACGTTCATAAAGTCAAGGCCTCCGACCCTCACGGCGACGCAAGATGTTTTATGCGTGGGACGATGCTCTCTTTCAGCAAGCTGGAAAGTGTTATCGGACGGGATCCAGCAGAAACAGCTAACGCAGTACGGAGCAGGTGAACGCTAAACCCTGCGCGGAATACTGGCAGCTCTTCGAGTGCTGTTGATTTAGCGTGCGGCCTTCATCCTTGCCAAAATACTCGAGGAACGGGGTGTAGACATCGAAGATTTCCATGTCGCGAATCTCCAAGTGCAAACCGAACTTGTCCAAAACGGACAGTGCGGTCTGCATGGAGGAGCCGACGAGAGCAGATTGCCGGGAACGGATCGACACGCAGCTTCCGTAACATGCGCCGAAATGTGAATTCTCCACGTGGCTGTGGTCTCCATAAAGTTCTAATTTGTACTTCCCGGTCATGTTGGAGTCTACGATGCTGGCATTGCCAGTCACCTCCAGAGTGACGTTAGCCAATGTCGAAGTTGCAACGGCAAGCACATCTCCGGCGACAAGGCGGAAGTCTGCCTTCTTTGTAGTGCCAAGGTGTGACCTCGAAATGGACAAGTAAACAGCATGGATATGGTCGTGCCGCGCTGAATGGTCAATGTGTCCAGAAGCAGAATGGGGGATGCCGCCGGTGAGCATGATGGTGGAGTTAAGGACCGTGGAATTTAACCCACAGAGGACCATGCGCGTTGGCATCAGAACCGATCTCTGTATTTTGACAGAAGGGATGCAAGACCCCCCTCTATAATCCAGGTAGGTCTCGAACCGACTGTGCTTTCTGGAGTTGGCTTCTTCCTCCGTTTGGTCGCCGCCAGGGTCGTGCAGTGCTTCCACTGCCACATCGATCAAAGCCAAGGAATCCAGTGGCAACGATTCTCTGAATTCTGCTCTCATCACTTGGAGGCTTTTCAGCGTCAGCTCAGTCCTTGGATGTTGCAGCTACGCTCGCGGAGTGCCTTGCGTGATATTCCCTGATGCACACCCCTCTGCACCCGTGATGACGCTGATCCCATGTACATGGAGTATATCTTGGGCGGGCTTCGGGTGAAGCTCCTTAAGCCCTAGCATAGGGCGCAGCCGGGATCCGGAAGGAAATTACACAAACCGACGACCATGTTGTTCAACATGCCCTGCCTTGATGTCTCGGCGTCGTCCTCAGAGTCCCCACGCACAAGCAAGTCCTCCATCTTCGTGCCCGGCTCACCCCGCAACTCCAGATTGGCACCGTGTGGCAGAGTAAGTGTAACGTTTGGGTAGACCTCAGAAGTCTCTCTTTCCACTTTAATCTTGTCACCTATCGATGTGCTATAGACGTGATATATATATATATATATATCATATGTACATATGTATAAAGGTATATGTATATGTGTGTATATATATATATACATATCCGGAGCAAGGCGTCAGTACTTACGATTTTGCAGGGTGCTCCAGGCATGAGAAAGCCAGGCCACCCCTGCCAATAGATGCACTCGCATGGGCTCTGCTGCATTGACGGACGCCAGCACGCTGGAGACGTTCTCAGGCGAAGCCGGAATCCTTAACACCAGCAGAAGACTCCCCCAGTGGACAGGAAATCACATCACACTCAAAAACTCTCTCGGCATCCGCTTCAGGCTACTACTCAGACTATTCACTCAACAGCTCAAGGGCAAGATTCGCAGGTGGAGACTCCTCGATTTCGTCGTCGAGTTGAACGGCAAAGTGCTGAGAGTCTCGGTGTGCCCCGACCAGGAAAAGACCCAGAAGGAGCCAGGATGTCATGGCCTTCACGCTAGAGGAAGCAGAACAGAGACATGAAGACTTCATGGCCGCGACTGAAACCATCTGTCAGCCATTCACCTGGCCTCTAATCACAAGTCAGCGCAGTCGACAGGCTGCGCGACCAGGGAGGAAGATGCACATAGATCCTGGGTCGGCTCAAGGGGCATGCGATCTGGCAGTTTCTCCACGAGCGCTTCTGCTGCAGGCATGCGCATGCATATACGTCATAACATACATAATTACATTACATTACATTACATTACACTACATTACATTACATTACATTACAGTACAGTACACTACACTACACTACACTACACTCCACTACATTACATTACACTACATTACATTACATTACATTACATTACATTACATTACATTACATTACATTACATTACATTACATTACATACACACACACATACATACATGCATACATACATGCATGCATACATACGTGCATGCATACATACATACATACATACATGCATACGTACATACATACATACATACATACATACATACATACATACATACATACATACATACACACACACAGATGTATGCATGCATGCATGCAACCGCGAACAAACAAGAAGCCAACACAGGTGCATAACCGCAAGAACCAACAAACACACCAGAAAGCACACAGAAAGCAAATAACATACATACATACATACATACATACATACTTACATACATACGTGCATACGTGCATTTGTGCATACGTGCGTACGTACGTACATACATACATGCATACACAGATGCATGCATACACAGATGCATGCATGCATGCATGCAACCGAACAAACAAACAAGCCAACACACGTGCACAACCGCAAGAACCAACAAACAAACCAGAAAGCCCACAGAAAGCAAACGACATACATACATATATATATACATACATACATACATACATACATGCGCACGTACGGACGTACGTACATACATACGTACAAATGTACATCATCATACATACGCACACTCACACAAGCAAACACACAAAGCACGCAAACACAGACACACACACACACACGCATGCGTACAAACATACGTACATACCGATATACCTACATACATGCATACATACATACCTACATGCATGCATACATGCACACATACACACATACATAAAACCATTCGTACATACATACATACATACATACATACATACATAACTACACATTTGCATACATACATACACATACATACATGCTTACGTGCGAACATACATGCACGCAAATTTACATACATACATACATACATACATACATACATACATACATACATACATACATACATACATACATACATACATACACACGCGCATACGTGCAAGCAGACATACATACCTATACTAATACATGTACGAGCATACATGCGATGTACATGCATATAAACATATACATCTACATCTACAACATCTACATGCCCATGTCCATGTACATGTACATGTACATGTACGCATACGCATACACATACACATACACATACACATACACATATGTACGTGCGTACATGCGTAGACATACGCCCATATTCTTACATACCTGTGCAGCGGGCTGGTTCCCTAGCCCAATGCAACAAGCACCTCTTCAGGCCAGGAAGCACAAGGAAAGGATTGTTCAGACACAAAGCAGCGAGCTCACGGCCCGACCGGCTAGCAGCAGAGCCGAAAGGCCCAAACACCACGATCCATCAAGTGCAGAATGGCAGAGGCCAGTGCAAAAGTCAGAGTTCTAGGTCACTCACACTCCAGCTTCTCTTCATGCTTTCCTTGGCCTTCCCTGGCTATGCGAGGAGGAGCAGTGTTTATCGGCTTTACTAGCCTAGTGAAGTTCGGTAGGTTGCTCCGGCAGCGATACCTAGCAGATGGCCCTCACCCAGCTTTGAGAAGCAGCCAGTCAAAGACGCCAGAACAACACCCGACAGCCTACAGCACTGAGGATATCGACTCCAGTGTTCCGCATGATCGAGTTTGGGCACGATCTACGTACGGACTATGGAGAACTCAACCCTAGATCCCGAAAGGTCCGGAAGGCTAAAACCTTGAACCTAAGTTGGTGGCAAAGGTGGGTATAATTAGGCGACCGGAGTGTAACCGGGAGTGTAAGACAGAAACCTGCTGTAGCCTTCACTGATTCTTTTCTTGCCACTGCCGCGCTGTTCCGTTCAGCCAGCAGCATGCCACAGCTGGGCTTCGCGAAACGACTCAGAGAACCATCGGTACCGTTGACACAGCAATATAGTCTGCTGACCCATCTCTCCTATCGGAAGGAACATACCGCTGTCAGCGCCCTCCGTCACCCTCGACCCTGAGCCCCACAAGCCATTCCGAGAAACCCTAAAGACAAATTCGGGTCCAAGAAGCAATGCCTGACAACCCCACAATTGGCAGTTTCAGGGTTTGGGGGTTTGGAGTCTTTCTACACTCCGCAGGTTGCTGCTCAGGGCTCTAAGTTTCGGGCTCTAGGGTGTAGATTAGGGATTGAAAGATGGAATTCAGGTTCAGTTTAGTGGTTAGGTTCAGTTTAGTGTTTAGTAAGGCTGCTACGTTTCTGACTCTGGTACCGAAGGTCCTCGCTCGCATCGGAAAGACTTGATCCTCAAGCAAAGCGTTTCAATATCGCCTTGGCCGCGAAAGCCTCAGAGTCTGGAACCTGAGCGCCATGAGACCATGCCGAGTTCCGGGAACTCCCGACACGTCACAGCTGGCACAACCCGAAGCCTAAGTGTCACTAAACTGAAAGCCTTAACTGCAAGACAGCACGCGTGGCCTCGTTAAGCAAAGATCGGTTTGTCGAAGGGCTCATCCTCGCTCTTTGCCCGAGCCACATCGTAGTACATGTGCTGTATGGACTTCGCCTCAGTCTTGCGTGTTTTGAAAGATTTAGAGAGTACGGTTCAGTGGGAGGTGAAAAGGCAAGGAACACTTCATCAACCTGCTGATAGATTGAACAGAAAGCGTCGACCGGTGCTTGAAATATACCACCATGAACATGGAACCACTGGAACCACTTGCATTCCAAGAGCTTTGAAGCTTGCCCTTTGGTAGACTGCACTTTGAGGCTGCCCTGAATCCCACAGACACAAATCGGCCAAAATGCACTGCTTGGTTCGAAGGATCCAGGGCCCCAGATCTTGAGGCCAGAGCATGTTACGCAAAGACTCCACCACCCACCGAAATATCAAACCACTTCGATCTCAAATCGGGCTCGTTGCTGCAAACGGTGCAGAGCCAAGAAATCCTCAAAGACTATATATGTCTCCGATCCACTGGCATGGGATGGGGGCTGTGTTTCAGCAGGGTGTCAGGGGCGGCGGGGTGTCGGAGTATGATATAAATCATGAGAACTCATTGCGGTTGGGGGATGGTGAACGTTTGTGTTGCAAGCTGCGGGGCGTTGCGAACCAGAGACTCCACACACCGGGCACAATCTGGTCCTATCCTACATGAGACAGCCTGTCGAATGTAAGATTCGCTGTACGTCTGCTTGCGTGTGCGTTGCAGCTGCATTTTCGTGCTCTGTTTACACTTTTCATGCTTTCTTTGCGTGTAGACCCCAACAGCAGCTATACCCCTAAGCGAACCCTTGCTTTAAAGGGTTCGAGCCTGGGGCTTTTCAGGGTTTAGGAGTTGGAATTTAGGGTCGAAGGCCTTTCAGGGTTTGGGACTTGCGGTTTAGGGTTTAGGGTGAGACTGGCTGCAGTGCTTTGCACAACCCCGAGGGACCAGGAGATTCGGTGCTGTCAAATGCCAAAATGTTATGTTCTGAGTTGCAGGCGGCAGGACCAAGCGGGGTAAGCGTGAAGCCTAATCCTATGAAGCACCAATGAACCCTAAGCCAATATATGCTAAAGCAAAACGCCTAAACAGCAAACCCGAGACTGCAACCCAAAAAAAACGTTGAAGCGGCTTGCCAAAGGGCCTTCCTCGTCCGAATCGCAGGTGAATGGACATCCCAAACCCGGGGGATTCTTGGTTTAGGGTTTAGGGTTTCAGGGTTTAGAGTCTAGAGTTTTGGGTTTAGGACACATACAATCCATCTTGTGCTCTCCTCAAAAATCGACGTTCTAGCTTCAATGTTCCCCAAACTCTAAACCCTTAACCCTACAAAATCCTTTCTACAGCGGCCTAGAAACCTCCAGTTCACGAGCCTCCATATTCTCAGCGGCCCTCTGGTAGAGGCGCGTCGCAGTCTGCATGGAGGAGCCGTGCAACTTCACGGAAGAGTTCGTCAAGTTGTAGACCTCTATACAGTATCCCCGGCATGGACCCACGACTGAACTCTCCATGCGCTTGTGGCAGTGGTCTCCATGGAAGCAGAGGACGTGGTTCCCGGTCATGGTGGAGTTGACGATGCTAAAGTTGCCAGTGACTTTGACTTGGGCATTCAGAGGCGAGTTCAGGATGTTCAAGTTGCCAGTAGCTTCCATACGAGGGTGCTCCAGCGTCGAGTCTTCAAATAGGAAAGACTTCGGATATCGAAGTCCATGTTACGGTCGAAAGGGCCAATGTGCGACCTCTGCACATGAAGACTTCTTGAAGGGAGAAAGATCTACCAGGATGACTCAGACTGTCGGACCCCATGGCCATGACGGTGGAGTCAATGAGTGTGGCATTCAGAAAGCATCCGTGTACGTCCATTAAACATGAGCTTTCGATTGTGAGCAAGCTTTCCTTCTGACAGAAAGCAGCCTTGTTCAATCGCGAGTTGTTTGTGGATAAAGCTGGTGCTTCAGAGACAAGGGGATGTAAATCTCCCACTTCCACATCCACCAGAGCCAGAGAAGACAATGGCCCTCCGAAACACTGCTTTTGTCAGCTGAAGGCTTCTGACCGTCAAGTCAGCGGCGACCTGCCCGAGAAAGTCTCAAGCTACTTGTAGACCCTAAACTCTATTCAAACACCAAAACCCTAAAGAGTCTTAATCCCAAGAGAACCCCTCTCTAAACCTCTTTGGGCCATGCCATGCCTCATGTCATCCCTTAGCAAGTGCAAAGGGTACAACTGCTCCAAAAGTCGGACTTCTGCATCCGCCTCGCCCCAGAGCTCGAGATTCGCTCGGGCTATGTTGCCATAGACCTGGCAGGCGGGGGTTCTTGAAGTAGCGATTCTCCATAAGTTATGTTCCACGGGACTTGGTTTATATCACTTTGACCCGCCTCAAAGCCCGGAACAAACGAACCCAAAACAACCTTTAGAGCCTTTAGACCGAACCGTAGCCAGTTAGGAATCGGTAGGTGGCTGTTACTGCACACCCTAAACCCTGAACCCTAAACCCTAAAAACCCTGAACCCTGAACCCTAAACCCCTAAACCGTAAAACCCCCCAAAGCTCCTGGAAAGCCATAGGACAAAGCCGAGCTCCACCAAGCCTGCCTCAGCCCGAAGCTCGAACGGTTAGGGTAACACAGAGGCTTCTTGAAAATATCCTATATCATTTTTGGGGGTTCCTTATCATAGTTTCTAGTATAGTGTACCCCAAAACCCTATTCTAACGGTTAAAGTCCCTATATTATCCTAAACCCTAAAACAACTCCTGAACCCGCAGCCCCAAACTTTAAGCCGCAGGCCCTAAGCCATGCAACGTCCTTATGGCTTCCAGACCCGAGTTCCCGCGAGTCGGTGCTGTACAGGCTTCTTAAGTCTTCAACAGGGATTTAGGGATTTAGGGTTTAGGGGATGTTGTTTTTGTTTGTGTTTTTTCCATAGGTTTTTGAGGGTTTGTGGCTCAACTCGTACAAAGCCCTGATAACACCAGATGCAAAACCTTTTTAGAGCCAACCCTGAGCCCTAAACCCTAGACCCTGAACCCTAAACTCCTAAACCCTAAACCCTAAAACCCTAAACCCTAAACTCTAAGAGTATTGACCCAATATCAGCACCTAGAGCTTTTGAACCCTAACAAAAGCCCAAGCCATAGAACGATGCCTACAAAGTATCCTACCAGCATGCGCTTTCGTATGAGCTCTTCCCAAGGATTCATTTTCTCGTTCTTTCAAAGGGACTCGGAATGAGCCAAGCCGCCCCAGCCGGGAGCTTCACGCGCATGGGCTCCGCAGCGATGGACGCCAGCATGCTGGAGAAGTTCTCAGGCGAAGCTGCAATCCTAAGCGTTTTCAAGCGTCCAGAAACCCAAAACCCTATCAAATCAAAATGCTGGACTCTACGCCCTATACATCTGGCCTTCGCTGGACAATTCGATCCAAAACGAAATCACGGGTGAGAGTCTGGGGTAAAGCTCCTCAAGTTTCGTCGTCGACGTGCACAGCCAGGTGATGAGACTCCCGGTGCGCCCATGCGATCATCACAATTGGAAAGAGCCCACATAGCATTGTCTCCCTCCTGAAGAGTTGAGGAAGCCTCGCAGCAGCAGGCACCGACAAAAAGAGATGACGAGCTGCTGGTCGAAGCTCCCCTGAACCCTAAACCCTATAAAACCCTAAATCCCGAAACCCTAAATCCTAAGCCCTAGACCCCGAAACCCATCCTTCCCACATGCACTCGACCTGGAGTCGTCAGCGCACTGGACAAGCTGCTTCCTCCGAGGAGAAGATTGTAGACATAGATCCTTGGTCGGTGCAGGGGAACTGCACTCTGGCAGTCAGCATATCTAATCTACTCCCACGGATGCAGAGAGGCGCATTTAGCGGCAAACACCATTCTTGCAGGTGCCCCGGTCCAATGTGAGGAACATGTCTTCAGGACAAGAGGCAAACGGAAAGGATAGCTCAAACACGGAGAAAGGAGCCCATAGCAGGCCAGCTACCAGCAGAGCTAGGAAGCCAGAATGCTGCGATCCATCAGTCTTGAGCAAACACCCCTCACCGGCTAACCGCGCAGGTCAACGTTCAAGGTCACTCACGTGTCGGTTGTCTTATGACGACAGTCTGGGCTTCAAGGTTGGTGGTAAGCGGCCTGGGGGGCTTTAGGGCGCCTAGTCAGAAGCCCTCATGCAGCTTAGACTAAACCAGCAACGGACGCCCGAGTCCGAACCTCAAGCGCCTGGAAAGGCGATACACTCTCTCGAGATTCGATGTTCCACTCCATGTACCTCAACTCTGCAGGAAGCCAGAGAAAAACCGTGTCCTGTTACACCTGGGCTATGGCATAGCGGCTATGCACATGCCAGGAACCGTGAGACCAAACCCTACATGCCGGGTTTAGTGGTGTTGTGGAGTATCAAAACTCTCAGGCGAGGCCGCTCCCCTTGTATGCAGCTGAACGCTGACCTGATCCTATGTCGGCATGACAGATATGCCCTGTTTTTTTTCGGCCGCGAATGTGAAAATGGTCTCGACGTTGGAAGCCTCAGAATCGTGACCTGAGCACCATGGAGCCATGCCGAGTTTCGCAGTTTCGGGATAAGCCGCTGCTGGCAGAGCTACATGGAAACATGCACGCATGGCCTCGTTAGGTAAAGATCGGCTTGTCCAAGAGTTCGTCCTCGCTCTTTGCCCGAGCCACGTCGTAGTACATGTGCTGTATGGACTTCGCCTCAGTCACTTGCAATCGCCAAGCCCGCCTTGCAGAAGGAACCATGCATAAATATGCAGCCTCACTGCAGGGCCACCTCCACTCGAAGAGCTGTCAAGTTCAACCCGTACTACACTACTAGACTACCGAACTCCTGCTTGTACCGAAGGGTCTGCAGGCCTTGTATCTTGGGACCAAGTGGACACCCAACGAACTATTCCATGATTTGCACGCATCTAGGCACATGACGGGGGGGCTGTTGCCTAGTTCAAGCAAAGTACAGAAACTTCTTAGGCGGAGATGCTGAATAGCCACGGGCTGATGGTCGATATCTCATGCCAAGACTGATGTATCCCTCCGGTGCAGCCCTGTGGCCGTGAGGTACTCCTGCATGAGGAACTGCACTTCACCGATCTGCTTCATGTCTTCTGTCTCAACCCAGAAGTTGACGAGAATGTTCGTCCGCTCCTCAAAAAACAAGGGACAGAGTGCCCTGCAACCCGATCCCTGCTCGGGCGGGCGGCCTCCGTTTTCAGCTTCTCGTTCGCAAACTTGTTCTTCACCCGCACGATCTTGAAGCGCTTCTTCAGGGTAGGTCAAGGATGCATGCGAAGGTTCACGCTCGGAAAGTTTGGAAAGAGACTTCGAGCTGTCCTGGAACTCGTGGAAGGCCAGGGCCAGCGCAAATGGGTCTGCTGCGTAGATGGTGGCCCGCAGGAAGTCGCACACATATCCTTGGGCGAGGGCACGATGTTGACTCCAAGACTCTGACTCTGGCGACTGCCTATGTACCGAGTATGAGTATGAAATGAGCCCTCAACCATAGTGATTTTATAGCACGTTTTTGTTGTCAAAAACCCACTGATACCGTGGACAAGCAGCCAAGTCTGGCCTTGCTGTCATCCGTTTTCTCGCGCGTTTAAAAACCCACAAAGACGTCCACGAACACATGATCTTAGCAACCGCAAAGGCTGTCCAGCCAGTCGCAGCAGTCGTGGTACTCGGAGTCGTTGTACCACTAGTGCTACGTGTTTTAGTGGTCGTAGAAGTCGTCCTGGTTGTCGTGGTATTCGTTGTCGTCGTCGTCGTCGAAAGCGAGGAGTAGGAGGAGTGGCACAAGCAGTAGCATCAGCAGCAGCAGCAGGAGGAGCAGTAAAACCCAGCCATCGTCGTCTCAAGTGACTCCAGTGATCGCCCTAAGTGAAAGAATCCCAACAGAGAAACTGAGAAACATAAAGATTATCCGCATGTTTGAAAATGATGCTTGCAATTGGTACAACAAGCACAGCATCCGACAACACGAGCATTACAAACCAGGACAGAAATGCTTGCCGCCATCTTAGCGACCATGGTACAATAGGAAAGAAAGTGAAGGGATCTTCTGCAGAAGAAAAACTAAACGGCAACAGCACAAGCTGCCATCGTCACAGTGTGTAGCGGCAATACACGTAGTTATCGTGATTACTAGAAAAAAGTCGCGAGACTCGTCGTGGCCATCGCCGTGGCAGTAGTCGTAGTCTTAGTAGCAAGTAGTAGCAAGTAGTAGCATTATTATTATTATTCTTATTATTATTAGTAGTAGTAGTAGTGGTGGCAGTGGTAGTGGCAGTGGCACTGGCAGTGGTAGTGGTAGTCGTCGTCGTAGTAGTAGTAGCAGCAGCAGCAGCAGTAGTTGCAGCAGTAGTAGTCGTAGTCGTAGTAGAAGAAGAACGAGTAGCAGTTCTAGTAGTCGTCGTTGTGATAGTCGTTGTTGTTGTAGTAGTAGTCGTGGTCCTTCTGGTTTCGAAGCTACATGGCATGCTAAAGGAAGCAAAGCTTCGTGCCAGAGGCAGTTCCTTCTTCTTCCCGGCCTCGAAGTCCTTCAGATGTTTTGTCTTCTCACAAATACTACTTCCTCACATTGACATGCTCGCATACAGACTGCCCCGCAAAGGTCCTGCTGGTAGTCCGTGTTGATCTTTGCTTGAGCGCGCTCCTGCTCTGTTTCACTACAGGTGCTTTAGAGCTCTTGGTGATCTAACCTAGCTTGGAGAAGATCACGGCGACCTTGCTTTTGATAGATGCCACCATGAGCCCGAAGTGGCGGCCAACTTCAGCACCATCTTCGTGCTGCAACCGGTAAAGCGACGGGTCCTTCGCAAGTTGACGTGGCCCTACACCTTAACCAACAATCATTTTGAACCGTTATATCTGCCAGTTTAGACCGTTGTCCAGCCGCAGCTTCTCGTCGAACTCCCGCACCTCCTTGGCGCTGATGCTGTTCAAGTCTGCAACCAATTGGCTGAGCTGCCTTGCAAGCCAGTTGGTAGCAGTACAGTGTAGGGTTTGCAGTAAACCCTGGGCTGCGACCATCCATGAGAAGTCACGGCAAAGAAATGAAAACTGACGGGAAAGCACAACAGACTGTACCTGCAAGAGCTACTATGAAGTTCAATGCTACGAATGACCTACACCTGTTTATCTCATCATGCAGACGTCATCGGCCCAAGGAACATAACCGCGGAAAAATAACTACCGCCGCCGCCGCTGCCACCGCCACCGCCGCTACCACCGCCACCCCACCAGCGCCAGCACCAGCATCAGCACCACCGCCACTAGAGTCGCCATCTGCGTCCTCAGCATCGACACGACCAGCATACCCTGACATCACCATCATCTTGTTCATCATTATCGCATCGTCATCATCATTGGCAGCAGCGGCATCGTCAGCAGCGCCAGCACACCTGGCCTCCTCCTCCTCCTCCTCTTCCTCCTCCTCTCCTCCTCACGATCATCACCATCATCATCTTCAGCATCGTCCTCTTCTCCATCACCACCACCACCAGCGTGCTCATAATCATTACCACCAGCACTATCACCATTCATGATGGTCATCATCATCTTCTTCATCAGAACCATCACAACCCTCACTGGCCGTGTCGTCATCCCCCATATATGGTGCCAGCAACGCTACCGACGCCGCATCGCCATCATCGCCGTCACCCTGATGATGCTCCCTTGTCTTCACATGTACCACAGCTCGTGGTCATCCTAGTGTCCTTCCTCCTTTGCTTCTTCATGTTCCCTCTTGTCTGTGGCATCAACACAACCGCGAGAATGAAGATCACTCCGGTCGTCTTCGTCTTCCCCTTCCTCACCAAGACAACCTCAAGCTGAAACCATCATCATATCCAAGTTGCCCCTTGAAGTCTGCCCGCAGCCAGCTCGCATACATCCACAAAGCATCCACCGGCGACTTCTTGATCTTTCCACCCTCCGAAACAAAGCTGAAGAAGCCCAGGATATGGGCTCCAGTAGAGTTTCCGGGACGGAAGAAAAAATGTGTGCACTCGCTGGGGAGCTTAAGCTGGGCGCTGCTTTTGCTGTCGCTGAAGGTTGGAGGTTTCGCCAGCATCGAGCGAGAGAGAGTGAGAGAGAGTGAGAGCGAGAGAGAGAGAGAGTGAGAGTGAGTGAGTGAGAGAAAGAGAATGAGAGAATGAGAGGGGCCGCCTCCGGCTTGGTTTCAGTCTCCTCCGTATCGCAATAATGCTCTTCCAAGGGTGGCTGCACTGCCTCGCCATCTTGGGATGGAATCCTGGGCAGCTTGACCACTGTTTGATTTTGCGGACTCGGAGCAGCTGTCTATAGTCTAAAGGATGAGGTTTATATACACTGGAAATTAAATTAGGAAATGCTCCCATGCATGCGACGAGCCTTGCGGCGATCCAAAGCCGCGAAGAGCTTGCAGTGCAGGCTTTGCATTCTGTTCCGAAGGCTCTGGTTGTCCAGGCGCTTCTTCAGTTGAGCCTGGCAAAACGAGATTGCCTGCCTTACCTTCGTGAAGCTACGGATCCTGTGCTAAATGCAGGCTCAATGCATGCCACCCCTTCCGAGACAAGCAAAGTCCTTCTTCTCATCGAGCTCTTTCCGCCGCCGTGTGTCGCCAGTCAGCATCAAGCCGTGTCCTTGGACTAGGAACGGTGTCATGGCATTGCACTTATATGGCACAATTAATGACTTGCACCTTCGCCGTGCTTGCCTGTGCATGGAGCTGCCTAGACCGTCTAGATGCTCCAACTTGACCAAGTATCGATTGAGGAAGACATCGAAGAAGACGTAAAGTATGCCACCCGCTGACCAAATCAATAGGAACAGGAGCCGCCACATCCTCGGCGTTGGCCGCATGAAGGGAGTTCTGCCCAATTTCGCGTGCTTTGTCCCTATTGCCGCAAATTCACACCGGCGCTGCACGATGCTTCTGTTGAATTGGCTGTCGGCGACTTGGTCGTTCGTTTCCAATGCTGTGCTAGCTGGCTTGCCTTGTTTAGCGTCTGCTAGTCCTGCAAAATTCAATCATCCGGGACAAAGCAAAATACTCAGACTCAGTTTTAAACTGTGCTCAGGGCACGGTAGGAAACAAAACAATCATGATCCCCCACCTATTTCAGTGCGATGCATAAAGCAAGCATCATTTTCTTCTCTGGACCAACGAACTCCTCCAGGTGCGGGCGCTGCTTCGCCTCCTGCTCTTGGACTGCACGCCGGATGACCAACAGTACATTCATGGCTCCGATCATCACCACAGGCCACAGGCCACAACCGAGCATCCACAAGAACATGCGCAGGGAGAGTGCCTCCCAGAGTTGTTCAGTTCAGAAAAGGAGAAAACTCAGGGCCTCTCTGCCTAATTATTGGGCTTGTCAAACCTTTTCCAGACTCGACTGCTGAGGCCTTCTCGGTGTAGAGGAGCTTGAGACCCTGGACTGCCGAGATGGTAGCGACGAGACAGGCAAGCAAGGAGAGCATCAGGGCTTTCGAGTGGTGCACTTTCATAGCTGCGCTCCGGTGCTCCAAAGTGGGACAAACTTTATCGCCATTATGATCTTCGCACAGCTCGTCTGCTGCATCGTTGAAATAGACCAGACCGCTGATGGTGCCCGTTGTGTTTACCGGCAGGACACCCAAAGCCTCAAGTGTCGAAATCTCGAAGCACCAAGCATCGGGTGTCTTTTGTGGAAGGTTTCTATGTGTCCGAGGTTTGGCGTAAAAGGACGTAACCGGAGCCCACCTCTGGAGAGACCTTGGGATTGGGGATGAAAACATCTGCAGCCGAGGCTTGCCACGCAGACTCTCGACGCTAGGGCTAGGGATGCCGCGTTAGGGTGGAGTGGGCATGCAAGCAGCATTGTCTGTGATGAAGACGTCCTCCAAGTGCACGGTCGAGGATTTCAGCAGTAGTCCGGCAGCCAGATTCGTCATGCGCACATCATGCGCTTCTAGACGCGATGACTTCAAAGCAATCCCGTTGCATTGCTTGTGCTTGCCCAGGATGTCTACCCCATGCATGTTCAGAGAAGAGCCACGGGCTGCGATTGCCATGTTACACTCTCTGCAGGTCACGTCGGTGATGTTCGCAATCGTCCAGTCCAGGACAAGCCCGACGCCCATGATTCTGTGCATAGAAATATCGCGAAGCTGAGCAATGCCACGGTCGCTCTCGTCCCTGCTTTGCAGGGTCAGGCCGGAATTCGTGACATCTTCCATCGTGATGTTTTGCATGGTTAGCTTCCACTGGCTCGCTTCAATCTTGACCTTGGTGGTGGGGTTGTACGTAAGTCCATGGTTTTATTAAAAATTTGCAAAATTAGCTTGCTTACATTTTGGCTCCCGGCAGCACTCCAGACGTTCCGCAACTTCACCATGGTGAAAGTCACATCTAGCGTAGTACGACCTGCGTGACACGTTCATAAAGTCAAGACCTCCGACCCTCACGGCGACACACGATGTGGTATTCGTGGGACGATTCTCTCTTGGAGCAGGCTGGAAAGTGTCATCGGACGGCAGGAAAAGCTAACGCAGTACGTACCGGAGCAGGTGAAGACTAAAACCTGCAAGGAATACTGGCAACTCTTCAAGTGCCGTTGATTTAGCATACGGCCTTCATAGATGTCAACATACTGGAGGAAGGGGGTGTAGATATCGAAGATTTCCATGTCGCGAATCTCCAGGTTCAAGTGCAAACCGAGCACGCACATAACGGACACTGCGGTCTGCATGGAGGAGCCGACGAGAGCAGATTGCCGGGAACAGATCCTCACACAGCTTCCGTAACATGCGCCGAAGTGTGAATTCTCAATGTGGCTGTGGTTTCCTTCAAACAATAATTCGTACTTCCCGGTCATGTTGGACTCTACGATGCTGGCATTGCCATGCACCCACAGATCAACGTCAGCCAATGTCGAAGTTGCAACGACAAGCACATCTTCGGAGACAAGGCGGAACTCTCCCTTATTCTTCCTGAAATCGATGATGCCGTCGTTGAGCATGATGGTGGAGTTAAGGACCGTGACATTTCCCCCCCAGAGGCCCATGCGCATTGGCATCAGAAACGATCTCTGTATTGTGAGAGAAGGGATGAAATCCCTGTGATAATAAAACAGGTATGTCTCGAATTGACTGTGCAAGGTTGTGGAGTTGGCTTCTTCCTCTGCTTGGTCGCCGCCAGGGTGGTGCAGTGCTTTTACTGCCAGATCGATAAGAGCCAAGGAATACAGTGGCAACGACTCCTGGAGTGCTACTCTCATCACTTGGAGGCTTTTCAGCGTCAGCTCAGTCAGTTTCGTCTTCCACCTTGGATGTCGCAGCTTCGCTCGGGGAGTGCCTTGCTTGATATTCCCGAATGCACGCCCGTGCAACCGTGATGACGCTGATCTCATGTACATGGAGCATATCTTTGGCCCCTGGGCTATCCCTGAACCAACCGACTTTCATATCGATCAATGAAGTCTGAGGGCCTCGGATGAAGCTCCTTCAGCCCTAGCATAGGACGTAGCCAGGATCCGGCAGGAAACTACAAATACAGATGACCATGCTGTTCAACATGCCCTGCCTTGTCGTCGTGTCGTCGTCCCCATACACAACCAAGTCCTCCATCTTCGTGCCCGGCTCACCCTGCAACTCCAGATTGGCACCGCGTGGTAGAGTAAATGTAACGTTTGGGTAGACCTCAGAATTCTCTCTGTCAACTTTAAGCTTGTCAACTATCCAAATCGCGATGATGGCTCCAGCTTGGGCCATCTTGAGGCGTGATATGTACATCAATATATTTATATATAGATGTAGATATAGATAAAGATATAGACATATATATATATACATATATATATATACATATGTGCATACAAATACATATACATATACCTATATATATATATATACATACATATATATACATACATACATACATAAATACATACATACATATATACATATACATATATATACATATATATATATATCCGCAGTAAGGCATCATTACTTACGATTTTGCAGGGTTCTCCAGGCATGAGACAGCCAGGCCACCCCTGCCAATAGATGCACTCGCATGGGCTCTGCTGCATTGACGGACGCCAACACGCTGGAGACGTTCTCAGGCGAAGCGAGAATCCTTAACACCAGCAAAAGACTCCCGCAGTGGACGGGAAATCACACTCAAACACTCTGCACATTCGGCTTCAGGCTACTACTCAGACTATTCACTCCACAACTCAAGGGCAAGGTTCGCAGGTGGAGACTCCTCGATTTCGTCGTCGAGTTGAACGGCAAAGTGCTGAGAGTCTCGATGTGCCCCGACCAGGAACAGACTCAGCAGGAGCCAGGATGTCATGGCCTCCACGCTAGAGGAAGCATAACAGAGACATGAAGACCTCATGGCCGCGACTGAAACCATCTTTCAGCCATTCACCTGGTCTCTAATCACAAGTCAGCGCAGGCGACAGGCTGCCATCCACCAGGGACGAGGATGCACAGGGATCCTTGGTCGGCTCAAGGGGCTTGCGATCTGGCAGTTTTTCCACGAGCGCTTCTGCTGCAGGCATGCTCTGCTGCAGGCATGCGCATACATATACGTCATAACATACATACGTACATACATACATACATACATACATACATATACACATACACATACACATACACATACACATACACATTCATGCATACGTACATACATACATACATACATACATATACGCATACACATACACATACACATACACATACACATACACATACACATTCATGCATACATACATACATACATACATACATATACGCATACACATA